GAGGAGGAGGAGGAGGAGGAGGAGGAGGAGGAGGAGATACAGCGCGTGGCCGTTGGTGTCGGCGGGAGCGTGACGACGGCTGGTGCTGTCTGTTGTCGATGCCGCCAGGCGACGCGGCTGCTGGCGAGGCTTGTGCGAGGCCTTCCCGGGGAGACGCCGGCGGTCGTGGTGCGGCACAGCGGGCTGCGGAGCGTGGTCCAGATCCTCGAGGACGGCGCGGCGGAAGCAAAAGCGGCGGCGGGGGGCACCGGCAGAAGGATTCCGGCGGCGACGGAGGCGGCCGTTCGCGAGGCGCTGGAGGTGAGGCTGTCGTTTTTTGTTGTTTTTTAAGGCTGTTTCGTGTTGGTAATGTTGTCCTCCCGTGTGGCCGAGAGCATGATTACATCCTGAGAAAAAAGCTCCACACGCTGCCGGCTGCCCCCCGCATATCTTCGTCATGTCCGCACACTGTCCCGAACACACGCCACCCCCATCTCTTGCGCGTGCTGCTCCGAATTTCGCTCACTCGCTACCAGCTCTTCGTCGCGCTATCGGAGCAACAGCCGCACCGAGGGGCGCTGGTGGACCTCCCCGGGCTAGCGCGCTCCGCGAGCTCCTATGTCGTGTCCGCCACCACCGCGAGCCCGGCCTCGTCGTCTCCGCGGGCCGGTGAGGACTCCTCGGCGGAGGAGTCAGCCTTCCGGCTGCTAGCGAACCTCGCCTTCGCCGACGCCCCGCGCCGCCGTGTGTTGGAGCTCGACGGCCTCGTGCTCGCGTCGGCGCGCGCGTTGTCCGCCTCCGCTCTGGCGCTGGCACCGCCTACACCGAAGGAAGTCCCTGCTGCTGCTGCTGCTGCTGCTGCTGCTGCGTCGGCGGCGGCCGTGGGTGCCGGCGAAGCGGCGGCGGCGCTCTTGTGCCGGCTGTCCCCCGTCCTCGGGGCGGAAGGGGGCGAGGATGAGCTGGTTGCCGCCGGGGAGGCGCTTTCGGCCGCGGTCGCGGCGGCGGCCGAGGGTGACGTCACCGACGCCGCTACCGCCGTTGGTCTCGCGAGCGAAGCGCTCTACGCGCTGCTGGTCCTGTCGTGGGCGGACTCGCGCTCGCTCGATGTCGCCGCCGCGGTGGACGGCTTCGTCACCGACTCGCGCTTCGCGGACAGCGTCGTCTCCCTCTGGCGGCGAGGAACGGCACCGTCCGCCTCCTCGGGCTTCGGGGCGCTGTCCGAGACCGCGCTGGTGACGATGTCCAGCATCGCCGCTCGCCCGACGGGCAGGCAGTCGCTGGTGGCGGCGGGGGTGGCGTCCGCTGTTGTCGACGTCGCCCTCGGGCAACAAGGCGGCGGGGACGCGGCCGGAGACGGCGAGGGAGGTTGTTCCCAGACGATGATGCTGGCGCCACAGCTAAGCGTGTCCGAACGCGGGGAAATCATCCGGCTGCTGTGCGTCCTGTGCGCCTCGCCGGCACACCGCGGCGCCGTCAGGTCGTCCTTGATTGCGAAGCGGGGGCTCGAGTCGGGGGGCGACGACACGGAAGAGGCGGCCGTCGAGGCGGCGATCGTGCGTATCCAGGGCGGCAGGGCCGGCGGCGGCGAGGAGTGTCGCGCCGGTGCTCGCCGTCTCGCGCTCCTGCTGGGCGTGTCCCCGCCGTCCCGCCGGTCATCGCAGCACCGGGGCGGGACAACCGCCGGCGCCGGCGCCTTCGCCGCCGAGTACCTTTCCTCTGGGGACCACCGAAGAGCCCCGTTCCGGTCTCCCCCGACAGGGGACGCAGTAGTAAAGCGGAGGTCGACGTCAACAACGACGCAGTCGCCTTCCCCTCCTCCCCCGCCGGCTTACGCTGGCGGCAGCAGAGCTGCGGCGGCAGGGCTCGAGGACGATATTGCGTCGTCCGTGGACCTGGAGGAGGCGCTGTTCCCGACGGTAGCGGCAACGGCGGTGGCGCACTTGGGGTCGCCCGGGGCGCGGGGGGTATCCGCCACACCCGCGTTGTCCAGAGCAGCCGTCGCCGTCGCTCCCGTGGCCTCGGCTCGGGCTCCCGCGGCGGGGCGGAGAGATCACGCGCGGTTGACGTTCCCGCCGGCGCCGAAGAATGGCCGGTCCGACTCGGAGGAGAGCTTGCATCGGCTGCTGTCGATGATCGCGAGCGAAGATAATAGCAGTGCAGCCGTGGCTGTGGCAACGGCGAATGGTAGCTTGAGGGGTGCCGTGGTGGGGGCCGAAGAGAGGGACGATAAGATCGCGTGCGAGTCCTGCGGGGAGCTCGTGTTTGCGCCGACGGGCTTCGATCTCGCCCTCATCGAGTGCCCGCATTGCCAGATGCCGATGGGGTGATCAAGAACAATGGTAGCAAACAAACCCACACCTCTTTTTTGTTTCTCTTTGTCGTCTATGTGCGCGGTGGTTGGCTTGTTCGGAGTGTTGTTGGTTGTAAATCGTTCCTCCCGGTGTGTGAGGTATGCCCTATGGACTGCTAACGTTATGTTGATTGTCGGGAGCGCAGGAGCGCAACGGGTCAATCTCGAAACTGTTGTTTTTGGGATGTTGTTGGTCACCACGCGGTTGGTGTCCTCGTGCGAGATGTCCCCCCTCCTACCCTAGCGTGCAGTTCTATCCCTGGCATTGGTTCCCCGGGCTGTCCAGCGGCCTCGTGTGCCGTAACGCTGTAGTCTCCACGCCACCAAACGGGGGGGGCTGGTCGGGGAGCTCGACCACATGTTTCATGCATCCGGCGGCTGGTGCGTGTTCGTATTTTGTACCGCTGCATACATACCTGTACCGTAGCCAACACGCCTGTTTCCGACTTGACGATCGGGTGCACGGCAGATAGGCTCGAGGGTCATGAACTTCGAGCGAGGTTCTTTGCTGGCCGCAATGGTGAGAGTTTTTTGGGGGACGTCCTTCTTCGGAACAATGCGGCCTCGAGGTAAAGTGTTCCGAAACAAGAACGCCAAGACTGAAAGCGTTGGTCTGATTGTTTTGGGTTTTTGTCTCGTGTGTATGTGTATGTTCGTGCCATCACCTTTTTCCTGGCGCCAGTGGCTTCAACTTTCGGCATGTATTTAATGTATCGGCCGGGTCATCCAGCACACGTTTTGTTGTTTCTTTTGTCCAGCTTGTATTGGGTGCGGTAGCTCGTCAGAGGCCGTCAGAGAAAGAAGGTTGACTCAAGGCCTTTGTTGCTAAGAGAGGGAGAAACATGCGGCAGGCAACACGATCGCCATGTAACATGTCCAGCAACACTAGCATAGATTTGGGTTAAGAGGCTGGTTGTGGTTTAATGAACCAATATCTAGCTCGACCAGGACGCCTCAGAGCATGACAAGCCGGGCCGTATAACCATCTGTGGAAAGACATGTCCCCAGCAGTATTTCAGAGCGTTTCGCTCCAACGTCCAAGCTCTTCTAGTCGGCGTTGCGCGAACGTGCGTATGAAACGCGGGCATCACTGCAAGAGTTGCTTTGTCATTGCGAGGAAGAAGAGCTTCGTGCGAAACAAGACAGCACCACTTCGATATCACGAGACTATTAATCAGTGCAAGATTTTCTCCCACCAAGAGCTAATAGTTCCAATCTCTCTCGCCTACTTCGGTGACAACTTTCAAGCAAACCGCCGCGAGTGAAACGACAAGGCAATTTATGGTGCAAGCTGTTCCGTGCGTATCAGCAAAAAAATCATCCTCTGAACAAACGCGCATTTTTTGTGGAAGCTTCCCCCGAAGAATCCAAGGCTTATTCAACGGCCGGCCCGAGTTTATCCACAAAGTCGGAGGTCAGGCCAGGTGAGGTTCGGAGAGCTCAAAGTATTTCATTCGGCAGGTCAGGTCAGGATAATCGAGAATGACAGGTTAGGGTCGGTCTTCAACGGCTGGATGTATTTCCACGGGTCACTTCACAAGTCAGACGAACAAAACGACCTATCAGCTGCATAGCTGCTACTACTCTGCTTCAACATGATCGATCGACCGAGACCCCCCCCCC